CAAGATCCAGGTCTATAGAGCATATGTCCTGAGTACACTCCTGTACTGCAGTGAGTCCTGGTCCCTTTGTGCACAGCAGGAGAGGAAGCTGAACATGTTCCATATGCGTTGTCTCCAACACATTTTTGGTATCACCTGGCAGGACAAAGTTCCAAACAGAGTAGTCCTAGAACGAGCCGGAATTTTCAGCATGTATACATTACTGAAACAGCGACGTCTACATTGGCTTGGGCATGTCGTGAGAATGGCTGATGGTCAGATTCCAAAGGATCTCCTATATGGAAAATTAGTGCAGGGAAATCGCCCCAGAGGGAGACCACAGCTGCGATACAAGGAGATCTGCAAGTGGGATCTGAAGCCCTTAGGAATGGACCTCAACAGATGGGAAACCCTGACATCTGAGCATTCAGCCTGGAGGCAGGCGTTGCATCATGGCCTTTCTCATTTTGAAGAGACCCTTGTCCAGCAGGCCAAGGCAAAGAGGAAGTCACAAAAGCAGCAAAATCAGGGAGCTGGACAGGGGACAGATTGGATTTGTCTTCAATGCGGAAGGGACTGTCACTCTCGAATCAGCTTCCTCAGCCACACTAGACGCTGTTCCAAGTCCTCCATACAGAGCACGTTACCATAGTCTTTCGAGACTGAAGGATGCCTAACTAAACTAATATACTCATAATCAATATCTCTCTTATAGTACTTCATTCCTGCTTGTTCAATATATTTTAACCTTCTCAACTCCTCTCCTAACACTTCTTCTCAACTCAATTCACTAACCCTCCCCTTCTAACTTCTAAACCCTAACTGCCATTCCACATCTCCAACTGTCTCTTTAACTCCGCCCCTCCTGCCCTATCCTTGGCTCCTCCCCCTTGAACTTCAGTGATGGACAGGCAGGAATGACGTCACCTTTTGGCATTTTGCTACATACCCTCCCCCTTAGAAAGTTTGTTCCATGGGAGTAAACCTACAGTGGTTTGCTCCATGAACAACGTAGAAACAGTTTAGTAAATTTTCACACAACCTATAATAATAATACTGCACATTTTAAATCACATTAATACTTACTCAACACCATTAAACTCCCCCAATCAATATTTGCAATACGTTTAATATCTTTGCTTACCATTAAGTCATCTAAAGGAAAGTTACATTTGTAATTACTTATTTTTATTTATACACAACTGGAACATATTATTATGTTTTACATTTACTTTCAGTAGTCAATTTATTATTCCTTAAGTCTTCGAGCCCAGGCTTCAGCAACTATCTTTTGAGTCATTCTTTTTCTGCAGATTTCAACTTCTAAATCTTGCAAGTTCCTGGTCCAGTTTGCAAGCTTCTTTTTGTAGGATTTCACAGTTCATAACTCCATTAAAGGAGATGAATCTGTGCACAGTTCAAAATGTCCTCTCCACTTGCACGGCCTGATCTTCTGTATTTACCACCCCCTTATATGACACTTACGTTCCATTGATGCTAGGTGTCTCGCACCAGCCTGCAGCTTTCCACTCAGGAACATAGCTGGAGGATGATTTTCCTTCTCATCCGCCTGGCTCAGCACGGCTCCGTGTTCGAATGTGGACACATCAGCGTGGATGGTGAAGTCCTTCCGGGACTCTAAACCTCTCGGCCGGCGTGAGGTAACCCTTGTCCATCAGATACAGTACCTCCATTGTTAACCGTTTCCCTCTCTTAGAAGGTAAGGTTTATCTATTTTCTCCCAGATTCAGATAGACAAACCTCGTTTTAAAAGGGACCTTTTTTTGTGTGTTAGGGAGAGATCGATTAATACTTAGTAGCTTTCCCTTTGACAGCCCAGGTTCGTTACTTTGTTACTTCAGGCACCTAGCCTCATTGTTCCCTGTAGGATACACTGTTTTGTTTGGCCTCCAGCCACCCTGCTGATTTTTTATTTTTCTGTTTTCCAAGCCCCTCTGCTTGGTCCAGTTCCCTCAGATCTGTGTTTGACCTTGGCTTCCGGTTTTGTCCCCTCAGCACTTCCTTCTTAGAGCCTAGGGTCCAAAGGTAGCCCACTAGTCTTTCACAATCTTGAGGTAAACCTTGAACTGTTGAGTTTTCCAGAGCTTTTCCCTTTCTTTAGTCTTTCCTGGTCTGCAATCAGGAGTCCCTTTTAAGCTTTTCACCAAGCCACTTTCAAGGGTCCCACTCCTGCCCTTACAGCACCAGACTACTAGGTCTCTTAAGCTCAGAAAATTCACTTTTTCTTTGGCTTACTGGAATCCCTTTTGCTTACTGGATTCTCACTCGTATCTCTTTAGCTTACTGGATTATCTTTCGATCCCGCCGCTGGTCACCACTTGTGGCGATCAACCTTGTTGCCCCTGTCTATTTTGGCCCTCACAAAGGCTCACACCCTTTTTCTCTTCTAGCTGCCACCAGGTATTCTTCTAATACCAATTATGTTATACACATGTGCTGCCAAAACTAAGAGTTATTGAACTTAGGAATCAGAGGTTTAATTAACAAATATTCTTTTGTTGTCAAGAAAATCATAAAGTTAAATCATGTATGAACTTTATCAGGTATTAACAAGGATTGGATCATGTATGCCACTGGTTCTTAACCTTGGGTTACTCAGGAGTTTTGGACTGCAACTCCCAGAAGCCTTCACCACCAACTGTGCTGGCTGGGGTTTCTGGGAGTTGCAGTTCAAAAACATCCGAGTAACAAAGGCTAAGAACCACTGATGTATGCCATCACTTTTATTCCAAACTACTATATACTTATAATCAATATCTCTCTTATAGTACTTATAACTTCATTCCTGCATGTTCAATATATTTTAACCTTATCATTCCCTCTCCTAATACTTCCTAACTCAATTCACTAACCCTCTCCTTCTCCCTTCTAAACCCTAACTGCCATTCCACTGTCTAACACTGCCCCTCCTACCCTATCCTTGGCTCTCCCCCTTGAGCTTCAGTGATGGACAGGCAGGAATGACGTCACCTTCAGCATTTCACTACAGGGAGCAGAAAAAAGACAGAGAAAATCAATGAAGAACAAGAAAGTTTTATGAGAATAAATATGTAGTCTGGATAAGCTTGTAGTTTTGCACTGTCAAAAAAGCAATAGTATTGTAACATACAGTATTTTTAAATACACCACATGGATAAGAGATATCTTATTTCACAACCCTCCCATGGCTACAGACATGAATCCATGGCACATATGAATGGTCTCAAGCCATGGACCTGAATAAATCTTATTGGATTTAAAAGGAGATCCCCAAAGATCAAACCATAGAACACATATGTTTCCATAGCTTCATTCCAAATAATATTATTGACCCTTGTTTCATGGTACCATTATGGTGTGAAAGAGAGGTCCAAGGCACAGATCTTCACAGGCTGGCATGATTTTAATATATAGATCATCTGACATTACCATGGTAAAATTACAGGGGAAAACCCATGTTTCTAAACTAAACAATAAAAGTCAGACATCTCTTTCTCTACATCTAAACCTGAATAAGTAGTCACACATATTTATTCATACTTAGCTAGCTGCTTGTTTGAGATGGTTGCTAATTTTCAGGCAATTATAATTAGTAATTTGCTAATGAATTGCCAATTGTTCCCTGCAAAAACAACAAAAAAAATCAAGAGAACCTGTACCATTCCTTGGTGGGCTTCCTCCCCATCATACAATGAATTAGTAAATCTGTCTTTATTATTACCCACCCTCATTTTTGGATTCTATACAAGGACCATATTATCCTTTTCTTTCAGAATACATCCATGAGAACCTGTGCCCCAGATCCATGCTGCTGGGACATGTCAGTGTTTTAAAGTGAGTGGTAAGTGCTTTTCATGGTTCTGCCTCTGAGCATGAGTGGGTCTTATCATTTCACACTCCTTTCTGTAGGATGTTTCACAAAAATGATATAGTTCACTGAGATCCATGCCTAGAGCCATGTTTTTGCACCATGTGCAAAGTCACTATACAGAGGGGGACTCCTGATGCTGTTCTTCAGTTTGTACACATAGAAGTGATCCATCATTTGATGGTGGTTTGGGGGTGTATCCCATGTGAAAATCATCTGGACACTTGAGGAACTGTGTGTGAGGCCTATGTTTTAGCACTGCTTTGGCACCATGCAGTGAAGGTTCTGTGAGCTTTGTGGTTCACCGTGTGGCCACTGTATGATCATTGATCTGACAGTCTTTTTTTTTTTGATCCTATTGAAAAACCAAATGGATCCATTAAACCACTGCCCTATGCCACAACAACACCATAGAGTGAGGGCTCTGTGATTTTTCTAGTTCAGTCTGTGAATATGGGTGTGATCACTGATTTGACAATGGTTTGGACTGGATCACATGGATCTACCCAAACCCATGACTCAAGATGTATTTTTGCAGCTTGATGATGCTATGCAATGAGGGATCTGAAATGTTTGTGGTGATTCAGTCTGTGAATACTATTTACGCATTGATTTGATAGTGGGGTTTCGGGGGGGGGATGCATTCCAAATAAACATCATATAAACAAACATACATATCTGCCTGAAATCCATTTTTGAGGGACCATGGTGACTTGGTGCAATGAGGAATCAATGATTTTATGCTTCACTCTGTGGACACACATGGGACTTAGGATCTAAGGGTGGGTTAACATATAAAAGCCAGGATTAATTGTTACCCGCCAGTTCTAAGTGTGCCACTTTAAGTGTCTTGCTTTCGTTTCCATTCACTCCTACAGTCGGGACCCTACGCACAATTGGAAATAACCCCGGGGGAACTCAGTGGAACATATTTACCACAAAGGGGAACTTTTACACGGGATGCATCCTGTCAGTGCGGTCTCTCCGCCCGGGAATGCCCCCCGCCTCTCCTCTTGCAACAGACTCACAGCAGCAGGTTGTTGCAGCGGGAGGGTGGGCGACAGGTTCTCACGCAGACCGGGGCTGCCCGCAGCTCATTGGCGGCCGGCCCGCCGCTGGCTGGCGCTTTTTCCTTCCCCGTGCGAGAGGCGAGTAGGAGCCGCTCCCGCGAGTGAGACGCTGCAAACCGAGGCCGGGCGGGCGCTCGTCGTGTACCGCCACGTCTCCTCCCGCGACTTACCCGCCGCGGCATCGCCAGCCATGAACGTGAGAAGAGTGGCCAGCATCTCGGCGCAGCTGGAGGAAGCCAGCACCACCGGCGGTAGGGCTGCGAGAGCAGCGTGGGCTTCGCTGTTGGGTGTCCGTCTGGGTTGGCATTACCTGACTGTGCCTACCCCTTGCCTGAGGCGTTTACGCTGGGCTGAGATGTTCGGGCGGGAAAACAAATGGCGTGCTTGAAATGTCCAGGCTAGAGGCTGTGCGACGTCTGTGTGTGTGCGCGCGCGAGAGAGCCTTTGCTAGTACTTCTGTTTCTTTCCTTGAAATTAAAAATAAATAAACAAATAAATAAAAAAGTGAGTAAGAGGTAATTCAGATGCCTGCCAAAGTGTCGTCGAGGCATATATAAGGCTCTTTCCCTTCAGAGCACCCTTGCTAATTCGCCTTGGTTTAACTTGTACCGTCGCACCTGGCAGTAGTCATAACCAGTCATTCGGACGGCAATCTTGGGCGCGTTTACTTCAGGGAGTGAGCGGGAGATTCCATAAGAGGGAAAATGCAGCTAGGCTGCAGCAGAAGGGTACAGGCTACAGTGCTCCTTTAGTGCTTCCATTTAGAGCTTTCTCCCAGTATTATTATTTTTCCCTTGCCGCTGAAATTTCCAGCTTCTTCTTGGTCTGCTTTTGTTCCTTCAATGCCAATTTGACCGTGCCGAAATTTATTACGTTTTTTTAAAAAAATTCCCACCCCTCCAATAAAACAAAATGATGAAAGATGTTCTCCCTACTAAACCTCTGTATGACACGTTGTTCCGAAACATTGAGAAACATTGAGAAAGTTAGTTTACAAACATGCTAAGCATGTTACATTGGAGTGGGGAAATACATAGATGTCCCTTTACCAAATGGAAAAAGTCTTTCTGTACCGTGGGACTTAGTTCTGATGTACTGTAGTGTTTCGAATAGCACTGTTAGTAAGTCACTTCTGGAAGTTACAGACTCTTTGTACTACGCATCTCATTCTTCTTCAGTTTGGCAGGTAGGAGTGACAGGGAAGCTGCCAAACCTGGGATGGCCCATGATTTCTGATTAAGCTGGTTGGGGAGTAGCAAGCAAGTGAAAAACACCTCACCTAAAATGACTGGGTAGGTAGGTGCCTTTCTTCGAAGGACCACAAGTCACCAGTGTTTTTTATTAGAAATTGAAAAGTAATAAATTTAGCAAAAGTGACAAAGTGAAAAGTACATCAGACAATACATGTTCACCCCAAATCCCACTGATTTCAGTGAGGTTATATTCAAAATAAATATATTAAGATTTGGAAGCTTTAACAATTTAATGTTGTTTTAAAAACATTTTATCTCAGTGTTTGAAAGAAGGAATAAGCAGGGCAAGGATGTACAGTATGTGTTTCTTGATGTTGTCATTTTGATATCCTTCATGGCTCATGAACCAGAGTTTCTCCAGTTCTTTTCCCCAGAACAGTGTTTCATAATGTGAGACCACACTGGCAAGAACTTTTCTATCAAAAATACTTATCTCAAAGTCCAGTTTTGACCATCCTTATTGCCATCAACAGAATGTCCAAGACTCAGAAGAGTGTCATATGGGGTGCAATGTTTAGAAAAAAATAGAATAGTGAGTTGGTCTAAGGATATCATTATATGAGTTAAAGCAGAGTGATAATGTTTAATGCTTGTTGAGCTCCTTGCTAAGTCACTTAAAAGTGTCACATAGATAAGATAAAACAAAATTTTAAAAAAGTTCTGCTTTCTGTTTTCTCCAAATCAAAACCTTATTAAGAATTTGGAAACATATATTTTCTTGGTTTTTGTTGATTTACTATTAGATACTTTGCAAAATATTAATATTTTGAAATAAAAAGGCAGTCTGAAAGTTGTTTAGATTAGGGTTATTGGCTTCACACTCCCATCAGCTTCTGTGCTTTTTTTAAAAGCACAGCATACACACAAAAGTCTAGGGAGGCAAAGTTTCTCTGTTCTCTTTAATCCATGTCAAAAAGACCTGAATTACTATAGGCCAGGGTACTGTTTGTTTAGATATTCAGTGCAATTATATCTTGCCTTTCTTTCATCGTGGAATCCAAGGGAATGACCTTGTTTTAATTTGTTATTGGTGGAAACATTTTGATTGTAATCCTGCATTGAGCAAGTGGTTGGACTTGACGGCCTTGTAGGCCCTTTCCAACTTCACTTTTCTATGATTCTATGAAATCTCAAAATATGTGAACAGCTCAGAGTGGCCTTTGGTCAGATAGGTGGAATAAAAAATAAAATAAATTAAATATGAGTGACCTAGTAAAATAAGAGTAAGTGACAGTTTGCTAATGATATGTGATAGGTCTTTTGAATAAGCCAAAAGATAAATGGAAGAAGTTAATTTATTGGGGAGGCTAGATCTAAAACTGTGCTTGTCTAAATAGACACTCCATTCATGCCTGACAAAAAAGCTTAAAATCTTCTGTCCTCCAGCTTACTTTCAGGGGTAGCCAATGACATTTTGTTGCTTGAAGCAAAGGGTAGGATGGCACCACCGCACTATTCTATGGCTGGATTGGCAACTAATTCCTATTTTAGGGATAAGTGCTATTACCAACACCTGAGGCAGCAGGATAATAAAGTCATATATAGCAGTGATCCCCAACCTTGGGCCTCCAGATGTTCTTGGACTACAACTCCCAGAAGCCTTCACCACCACTTCTGCTGGCCAGGATTTCTGGGAGTTGAAGTCCAAGAACATCTGGAGGCCCAAGGTTGAGGATCACTGATATATAGGATAGATGGTGTGCCATCCAACATATTAGAAATATCAGGGTACACCGGAGGAACATAAGGAGATTTATGTCACTTCCCCACAAGCATCTGCAGTTACCTCATTATGCCTAATGGTCGACTCAGTCTTGTCTACAAAGCTCATCAGTCTGGAGGGTTATTTTTAAAGAAGTGAGGAACTGCAGATGGAGAGGAGAATGACAATGATGCTTCCGAACTATTAATATGGGCACATGTTTCTATTTGCTCAAGTAGGAGTTTGTATAGAAACCAGTATAAACTATAGCTTGCAAAATGGGTTACCCTTTTCCAAAGCATGCTGCAGACATGCTATTATTCCTCTGTCCTTGGAACTGTAGCATTGCTTGCAACAAGCTGTTTTGTGACATTGTGGAGAATGGCATTGGTCTTGATGGATGCTCTTGAAACCTAATAGCCCTTGCCACCTATTATTGCTGTTTGAAACTTTGTTCAGTTTTAAAGACAATTTGCCATGCAGTATTGGAAAAGAGATCTCTAGTTTCTTGTGGGGGTGGCAGAAAGAGAAAATACTTATAGAACTAGATTCTTTCATTCCGGGCCATTGTTTCTTTCTGGAATTCATAGAATTATGGTTGGCTTTTCTTATGATAAATTAATAGAACTTAATGTGGAAGAAACATTGGGATTTTTTCAGTATCCTGAGAAAATATTTCTAGTGGTAAAGTTTTGGTGCAAAACAACCTTTCAATCATCCTGAAAAGGATGTAGAAAACCACAGTTTTAAACAGGGAATTTTAATAAAAATGCTAAGGAACGCTATTGTTCTATTGTTGTTCACAAAGAGTTTGGCTGCTTTGAAATTAACTACAGGGACATAATACTTTAGAAATGTATTAGCAATTTTAGAGGGGTAGCATGGTAAGAAATCAGTATTCATAAGTTCTTCTCCAATGATCCTAGCTCTATAAATATTGCTAGGGAAAGTTGGGTGGGGGAGACAGTGCAATTTAGGTTGAATGTCATGGTAGTGACTGACCACTAAAGCAACATAATTTTCTTTGTGCACCACAGTGATCTTTGCCCTCAAAACCCTCTTCTACAGAGTTACGGCATTCTAGTGCAGATTTTTGAGGAGGGGAAAAGTAAGAATTGCTCTTGTCCCAACTTGATTGACATAAGCAGTTCCAACAAAAGAACAAACTCATGGAAGCTGGCCTGAGACCTCATGGATGATAATCAGAATTGCATCTTGGATAAATGTTTCATTAGAAGTTAAAAGAAGGGTATTCATTATAAACTTCATATTCTAAAAGAACATAGATTAGAATTATGGTTTGTCCCCATGCTCTGCTGAGAGTGAGTGCCAATAACATTTGGTGGCATGTGCATTGGCCCTGTGTGCATATTGATGCATCACATAGTATAATGCAGATGCAGTGTGTGAGGGGGCATGGCCAAAATGATCCTCAAACTGGACATGTGGTTTCTAAATATGGGAGTTCTATCTGCACTCACAAGCAGTAACATGCAGTTTGCCTCACAGATTTCATAGGTTGGAACAGATTTTGTGGGATTGGTTTAAGCAATAGATTACTTTCCATAGATGTATGTGAATCTTATATAAACTGCTCAGTTTGTAGGTGAACCATACCTTGGGTTTTTGCTCCATAATTAGCTATTGAGCAAGATTATTCTTAATGATTAGCTATAGAAGATTTTGCAAAAGGCCCCTGCATCTCCCTGTGACTGGCACTAGTGCGCATGTGTGAGCTCTGCGTAGACAAGGGTGCCGCTGCTTCCCGCTGAGCAGAACGGGCCGGTCACGCCAAAAAGGCTGGCACCCCGTCTCACTGCTGATGCTCGCCACGGCCACGCTGGATACCGTGCATTACTGTGCGGTATGTAGAATGAAGTGGGCAGGCATTGGGAGGCTACTATGGGCAGCTATGTCTCTCCCAACTGAAGTGCACCCAGCGTATAAGACGACACCCCCCCCCACTAGGAGGCATGTTTTTCAGGGCAAAAAAGTTGTCTTATACGCTGGCAAATACGGTAATTGCATAACAACAATTCATTAATTGTATAATAGGAAAAAGTCCAACAACACTGTCAACCTCCCACCCCAGGCCCTCAAAGTGTTACCATCTTGCTTTAGCTGCTTTCAGGGTCAAAGTCCGAGAATAGATTTTGACAGTCAGATATTGAAGAAATGGCAACAAATATTTGCCGCAGGGGATCTTCTGGCAGTGTTAAAAATAGTGAGAAAGAATCAAAATGTTACACCTTTCTAGCATTCCAGCTGCTTTCATAAGCACATTTTATTCCATCAA